GTCCCAAGACTCCGCCTCTACCTCTAGGCGGTCATACCTGCCTATTCTTAGGACGATGATGACTTCCTCGGCTTTATCTCCGTAGAAGGGCCCGTATTTCAATGAGAGCCTATAGAACTCCTCAGTCAGTCAGACACACTCTATATGCATCTTTCTCACGGAGTCGGCTACTTCTAAAATGTGCTAAAACCCCCCAAACCACTCGGCTATGAATTCCGGTACCCAAACCGTTATCCGTAGACTTGGAGTTTTGAGTTCCTTCCATCCTTCCATCACAACTCTGCTACTAATTTTGTCCCATCCCTCGTTGGCGAACAGCTTGCCTTCCTTTCGGGTTCGGGCCTCTGCATCCCCTAGAAGCCATATCGGGTCCTGTCCCATTGCTAACATGGTGCAAAACAGGTGTCATCCATCCTCGGAAACGTTCCAACTGACTCTACCTTGCCTTCTGCTATATCATCCCAACCTTCCTCTTCCCTTATCGGGTTCCAAATCCGCTCTATCCATACATATGACAAGTCCCGGGCAACCTCAAACCCAATCCAATCGCACGTGGTCCCTCTCCATCCGTTCCCTGTTGGTATAGGCATTTTTATTCCTTCTCTGAGTCGTCGTGGTTCCCAGCCTTTGAAGGGGTATTCCATCATCCTTTCTTCTCTAGTCATCTTTCCCTTTCCTGCACAATACGAGGTCACCCGTCCTTCCTAAGTTAAGTTTCCTCACCCCTCTTAGAAGTCTCAGTCCTCTATCTCTTCATCTTCGTCTTCATTACTGAAGTCGTCCTCCTTCTCATATACCAACTCCCTCACCCCATCTAGAAACGTCTCCCCTATTGCCACATTCTTGTAGACTATCCCCCAATGCACAGCGCTAGGGACAAAGATATTGTCTATGCTCAGGCAATTTAGTATCTCGGCCAGCTCCTCCGCCCAATTCCCCTCGAACGGCCCCATCTCTACCGATAACCGAAAAAAATATTCCCTAGCACATTGGTAGAGCCCGAGGTTCGTCATGGACTGACATATCCGTACTAGCCTGCTCCAGGTTCCGAAAACCGCATCCACTAGGAAGGAGGGCAGCACACATCGCATGGTTCTTACGGGTCGCCACATGCTTCCCCTATCCCCAAGTTCCACCCGTACGTCTACCTTTTCCATTTCCATTTCCCTCCGTTGACATGCAGCCCACACAACCTCTGCTTCTGCCTTCCTAAACAACTCGTCCGGCGTATTCCCGAGTGCCAACTCTATGATCATAGCTTTCTCCCCATCTTGCGACAAGTAGACCCACCCCTGGGCTTCCACTGTCCCTCCGAATTCCAAATTCATTAAGCTTGGTGGCAGCCTCGTCAAGTTGACATTAATCCATATTGTTTTTATCCAAAGGAAAGCATCCTCTCCTTCCAGCATTACCGTTTGATACGCTGGTTCAGGGTCCGTCCACGTTCCATTTTCCGGGAGGACGACCGATACCCCATCCTTTACATCTACTGGCATTTCCGGATCGCTAGTATAGATCGGGGAAGGCAATCATCGCGCCATCTTGTTTTCAACACCCGACCCCTGTTTTCATAAAAAGGCACCAACCGATCTTTTTTGTCAGGTCAACCCTTGTCCTAGATGAGAATTATTTCAGACCCCTCATCAAGGTCTCTCTATTTTACTTCCTCTTTTTCTAAGTACCCCCTTCCCATAATCCCCTCGGTCGGCCATCCATTTGCCCACATTCTTTCTCTTGGTTCCATTCCAATTGACCTCTATCCTCCTTCCTTCCGATCATCTCTCACTCGTGCGGACTTAGATAGGAGGGGGATTAGACTTAGAAGAGTGCCCGTCCAACAGTCCAATCTCAATCAATTTTTACAGAGG